GGACAAAAAAAACAGAGGAAAAAATAGATCGAGGGTTTGTATGTGAAAATGTTATTTGGCCAGAAAATTACATTTAAATTAAAAATTTATATGTAAATAAAATAAAACATTTAAGATGTTTTCTTTGGATTATTTGACTAAATAACTCATGTTTCCTGCTAGCTAGATTTCACGTACACATAAAATCTGGCTCTAAACCTCTCTTTTCTTTATTCAGAGTTGATCTAGACAAGTATGGAAACTATCCAAAGCAGTGAAAACTGCATCTCTATATTCATGTGTCTCCTTAAGGTGAAAAAAAAACATGGTTACTAAGTTAAACCATGGTAACCACAAATTAACTAACCATAGTTTAACCCATAGTATCTGTAGTAAAACTGTAGTTATACAAAAATAAATAAATAAATAAAAAATCCCAAAAAAGAGTCACGAACCTACTCCGAAGTCCCGATCTGAATCAAATGATTTGCGATGCCCGATCCGATCGGAGCGCTTCGAAACAGTGAATCATTTGGTTACCCAATGGTTAACTGATTCGTGTTTCCAAAAGCTCCGTTTCACCCATCACTCGTTCTAACACGCCCCCACATATCTACCTCACTATGTGGAGTATAAATAAAATTAAATAGCCTAAAGTTGCAAATAAATAGTTTACTTATTTCATAATAAATAAGTGGCATAACATTGGATTTAATTTTTGTGTGATATGTTGCCACCTTCTGAAATAATAAGCAAATTGCAGATCAAAGTCAGTGCAATGTGATGCTAAATTAATAATTTAAGGTATTTACCTTTAAAAACATTTGGTCAGAATAATATACACGGCATAATTATATAACATAGTTACATTATAACTAACAATAAGAATGAGTAAGTTATTAATAATTAGATATTAAATACACGTTGATTGTCAGTTCTGTTCTCGACCTTTTGTTATAAAATGTAAAAATAGACTGAAATAATAGACTTAAAAATAAACTTTTTTTATAACTAAACGTTATTTCTTTGTATAACTAACTAATTAACTAACTAACTAAATAAATACATAAATAAATAATAAATAAAGTTAAATAGAAATTCCCCATTGTTGACTTCGCACCGTGGAAGTTTGTTCCCATAGTAACTGACGTGTCATCCAGGAAGCGGAAGCGGAAGCGCGACAGAAGTTTGTTTATACTGTTGGATGAAAACATCACAACTTCAGCCGCTTGCTGGGTTTTTATGAAACAATAGTAACATTACTCGACTGTATTCTAGTTTAAAGTGAAAGCGCTCGTCGTGCTGAACTAAAGCAGGCGCTAATGGGGGCAACATCGAGCAAATTAGCCAAAGCTCTTCTGTCGGAGTATCAGGTGAGACAGACACGTGTGATATTCTTTAAATATATGTTCATTTATTCTTTATTCTATATGGCAAGGAGTTGCTTTTATGTCTAATCTTTCATTTGTTGCTTCTACAGGAGCTCACCTTTCTCACAAAGCAAGAAATCCTGCTGTAAGTACAGTCATGCTGTGTTTAAACTGTACAGGTGTGAACACTAGTTTCTCATTAGTTGGAGGAGCAGCGAAGAAACGCGACAGGCTCGTGCAGCTGGTTTATTAGTTATATGCTGCTATAGGATCTGTACATCTTTTGAATTCGCTCTTATACAGTTTTTCATTATAGTTTTTATTTGAAGAAGTGCTTTGTCATTTGATTCGTTTTTTAATATTTCTAGTTACCTTTTATTTTTATTTTAGTATTTGTAGAACTTAAACTTATTTTATTTCCAATTACACATTTACATTTCTATTTAGCTTAAATTTATTTTTATTTCAATTTTTGTATTTGTAGTACTTTAACCTAAACTTATTTTATTTCCAATTCAACATTTTAAATATTTCTATTTATCTTTCATTTATTTTTATTTCAGTATTTTATTTTAGTATTTGTAGAACTTAAACTTATTTTATTTGCAATTCAACATTTACATTTCTATTTAGCTTTAATTTATTTTTATTTGTTTTAGTTTTACATTACATTTTAGTTTTCGTATTTGTAGTACTTTAACTTCTTTTATTTGCAGTTCAACATTTTAAATATTTCTATTTATCTTTCATTTATTTTTATTTCAGTATTTTATTTTAATATTTGTAGAACTTAAACTTATTTTATTTGCAATTCAACATTTTAAATATTTCTATTTAGCTTTCATTTATTTATTTCAATTTTAGTATTTGTAGTACTTTAACCTAAACTTATTTTATTTCCAATTCAATATTTTAAATATTTCTATTTAGCTTTCATTTATTTTTATTTCAGTATTTGTAGAACTTACTTATTTTATTTCCAATTCAACATTTTAAATATTTCTATTTATCTTTCATTTATTTTTATTTCAATTTTAGTATTTGTAGAACTTAAACTTATTTTATTTGCAATTCAACATTTTAAATATTTCTATTTATCTTTCATTTATTTTTATTTCAGTATTTTATTTTAATATTTGTAGAACTTACTTATTTTATTTGCAATTCAACATTTTAAATATTTCTATTTAGCTTTATTTTTATTTCAGTTTTAGTAATCGCAGTACTTCAACTTAACTTATTTTATTTACCAATACAACATTTCTCATTTTCGTTTAAGTTTTTCATCTAACGTTAATAACTTACAACAACCAACAATTAATTTTAATATACATTCTTTAATATTATTTTTATTACTGCCTTTTCACATGTACATCTTCTCTACCATGGCACATTTTGCCTTGGCATTCCCTGTGAAGTGGATTTGTTGTTGTGACAGTAGCTAAACTACACAAATGTACAGTAGTTTAGTTACTGAAAGTGTATTCTAACTAACACTTAAAATGTTTGAATGCCATTGCATTATAGACTTTTGGGGCTCATCATCAATGTGTTTGTTTAGGGCACACAAAATATTCTCTGAACTCCAGGGCAGAGAAAATGGACCGTACAGCTCCAGGGTGTCCATGGAGAAGATCCTCACACTTCCTGAACTGAAGGTAACACATTAAGTCTGTACTGCAGTCACAGTGCAATATAACATCTTATAATCCTTCCAGATTTACCCATTCGGCTGTATATATTCTGTGTTTTTGCTGGCTGTCACAGTCTAACCCCTTCCAGAAAAGGCTATGTCACGTCTTCTCGACCTCTGACATGAAGGATGGCAGCTTGAGCTTTGAGGATTTTCTGGACCTCTTGAGTGCCTTCAGTGATTCGGCGACTCTGGAAATCAAGGCCCACTACGCTTTCCGAATCTTTGGTAAGAGAGGGATTGCTCTCAATATTGACATTTAACACGATAGCAGTAGCAAACACCACTCAGTATAAACAGTTCTTATGCTGCAGACTTTGATGATGACGGGACCCTTGATGCTAGAGACCTGGAGAAGCTGGTGAACTGTCTGACCGGTGAGACGGACGACACCCGTCTGACTGCAGAGGAGATGAGACAGCTCATAAGCAATGTGAGTGTGGTGGATGTACATCACATTAATGACAGACATCTGCCAGATGAACTTCACTAATGTAAACAAACGGCACTGTACAGATCCTTGAGGAGTCGGACATTGATAAGGACGGGACAGTCAATCTCTCTGAATTTCAGCATGTCATCTCCAGATCTCCAGATTTTGTCAGGTGACAGAATTTTGCTTTTTATTTAAAAAGGGAAAAACTGGACAGTTGACATATTTTGCTGCCTTCAGTCTAATTGAGCTGTAATTGAAAAAAAAAATATATATGTAATGTGTGTGTGTGTGTGTATATATATATATATATATATATATATATATATATACACACACACACACACTACATATATATATATATTTTCAATTACAGAACTTAATTTGAACAACTTTAAAGATGATTTTCTCAATATTTAGATTTTTTTTGCACCATCAGATTCCAGATTTTCAAATAGTTGTATCTCAGCCAAATATTGTCGGATCCTAACAAACCATACATCAATGGAAAGCTTATTTATTCAGATTATGTATAAATCTCAATTTAAAGAAAGAAAAATTGGCCCTTATGACTGGTTTTGTGCTCCAGGGTCACACACACACATATATATCTATATATATATACATACACACACACAAAAAGTTTTCATTTTGGCTTGTTGTTTGTAATTTCGTTTTGTGCTTTTGGCATTTTTCTTAGATGTTCACATTCTAATAATATTTGTTCATTTTTAAAATCTATATAGCTTTATTTATTAATTTAATTAAAAAAGTTATTTAGTTTCTAATTTCACAGTTATTTTAATGTGTCTATATATATAGATATATATAGATAAAACAGTATTAATTTTGTGAATTATCTTTTATTTTTTCAGTTTTCATTCTAGTTTAAGTTTTAGTAATTTTGTTGTGCCTGTCATTTTTATTATTTCTTAAATTTTAATAATTTCTTTATTATTTTATATTTCTATATAGGTTTATTAATTAATTTCATTATCAAATTATTTTATTTCAGTTTTAATAATTGTATTTATTGTATTATAAATATTTTCTACTTTAAGGTAGTTGCCAAGGCAACATTTCTAATTTTTTCATCTAATACTTATATATTTTATTCTGCGTACACGACCAAATTACATTTTTCATCATTCTTTATTACAGCACAAGAATTATAAAATGCATAAAGCATCAATTACACACCTAATTCACATCTTTTGCACTTTTGTTAGTGCGAAAAAGTGTCCTGTTTTTCTTGAGAAGTGAGAAAATTATGAAACTGCCCAAAGTTTCAAAAGTCGTCTTCCCAAGACTTGAAGGCAGCATTTCTCCTGATTTCTCCTCACTGACTGAGAATGTTCTTTTGCAGTTCATTCAAGATTGTGTTGTGAAGTTTACACCGAACGGAAGCTGTTTTCCGGTCCAGAATTTTCACCTGCGCCTCTGGTCTGTCACTAATGTAGCGACCTAATTGTGACTGTATATTCTTGTTCAGTATTTCTACAATTTATATGTTTAAAAACATTTGACTTACTCTGTTAAAAGAAAAGAAATCTACTTTATATCCTGTATTTTGAATCATATATTTGTACCTAATTTAATAAACTCTAATTCTGTGACTTTGACATCGCTGTATTTATATGGCACTCTGAAACAGGCTATTCCTGTCGGGATGGAGGTTGTTCTTTTGGCACAGCAGACACAAAAGTGTTCCATAAGCCACAGACAACATCCTTAACACACATTCGATGGCTAGCGAAGTAATCCACCAGTGTTGGCTCATCTGTGCTATTTTCAGTGCCATGTCCCAGTTGTCCATAATGGCCTGATAATATGACACAGACAGAGAAAAGGCAACTTTTAGCACTTTTTAAAAAAATAATTAACAATCAAACTTTCAAAAATGTGAGGTCAGTATGTTGTTGTTTTTTTTAAGAAAGAAATTAAAAGCAGAGTTCACCCAAAAATGAAAATTTGCTGAGAATGTGCTCACGTTCAGGCCATCCAAGATGTAGATGAGTTTGGACTTTTTCACTGGAGGACATTATGGACTCATATTCTGGCCAGAAGCAATGGTTTAAAGTTAAAACGTCTTAATGATGGATTTGTTTCAGCTTTTGTCTTCTCCAGATGTTAACTGCTGGAATGGATTATTGTGACGTTTTTATCAGCTGTTTGGACTCTCATTCTGACGGCACCCATTCACATCCATTGGTGAGCAGGTGATGCAATGTTACATTTCTCCAAATCTGATGAAGCAGCAAACTCATCTACATCTTGGATGGCCTGAGGGTGAGTGAATTTTCATTTTTGGGTGGACTATTCCTTTAATGCACATATTCAGCAATGACACAAATTAAATCCAGCCTTGCTGAGCACTAGAGACCGTTTGCATTGATTTATTTCTATAAAACGAAGCAAACTCTTACCCCATCCCCAAGTGTACAGATCCCCTGTACCTACAAATAAATAAGAATGAGTTCATTTAATCATTTATGTCAACTAGTTTATTCTTGAGTCCAGTTTAAGCTCCAGTGATCAGATCTGGATCTCACCGCTGACGGCTGCAGTATGACGCGATCCACAGCTGATCCTGCTGATCTCTAACACATCAGGGACGTCCACCAGAGCAGGAAACGCTTGAATAGAAATAAACACATCCGCTTGCTTCTTTTCATCTTCATTTATGGGCTGCTCAGTGTTTCCTGCACAGTAAGGTAAACATGTAGCTGTGTAGTAATACATTCATATGTAAAGTCATAAATGTGACCCTGGACCACAAAAACAGTCTTACGTGTCAATTTTCCAAATTGAGATTTAGACATCATATGAAAGCTGAGTAAATAAGCAAATATCCCCCAGCGACTTAACACTGCTTTTGTGCTGCAGGAACACATATAGTCTTTTTACCACAGCTTTTTCCTCTGAGCTTTCCCTCCTCCAGGCCTCTAGATGGCAGACCGAGCTGCCCGCTCTCATTCCATCCCCACATATACAGGTCGCCACCAGCTAAACACCATAAACATATTTCATATGAACACTCTGTATATTAGTAGGGCTGAGTTTGATCGGGAAAGTTTCAGGAAACCTCTTACTGCTGATGGAAGCGGAGTGCCAGTTCCCAGCAGACACTGCTCTGATCGGGACGCCCCACAGCGCCTCCAGCACCTGAGGTTCCTCCTGTGACGTCAGAGCGCCGTGACCCAGCTGACCGTGACTGACCAATCAAAACATCAGCTTAAAAACACTCTTCAAAAGATGCATACAGTTTAATGCCTATAGAACTGAATGCTGCCTTTGACAAAACTGCGATGTGGTCTAGAAAAGGCTGTGTTATTTTACATAAAATATTGTAATACAATGAATTTTCACAATAAGCATAAATTAGAGGCAGGACAAAAATACTGCCATGATCTAAATATTATTTAAATACATATTTATAAAAAAATGTGCATTACAATAGTTATTTTAGTATTATTTATACACTATTATAGTATTTAATAATATTTTGAATTAGCTTTTATTATTTTCAGTTTTCATTTTAATTTGTAGTGGTTTTAGTAATTTTGTTATGTGCTTTTCCCATTTTTATTAAATATTTCTAGTTGGCTTAAATTTATTTTATTTCAGTCTTAGTAATTGTAGTATTCAAACGTATATTTAGTCATGTTTTTGTAATTAATTAAATATTTCTATTTTGCTTTAATTTTTATTTCAGTTTGAGTAATTGTAGTATTTAAACGTAAGCATACTTTATTGCAATTAGTAGCAATGCAAACATTTTTATTTTCTTTTTAAGTTTTTCATCTTTACAATTTATTTTATTTCAGTTTTATTGTCAATAACCAAACATGATTTTTAATAGTTTTAGTTTACAATATCAACACTCGCACTAATGAGAATTTCCAATAAATATGCTCGATTGTCATAAAATAAAAAAAAAGAGAATAAAATAAAAATATGCTTAATTTTCTTATATTTATAATCTGAAATATGACCTGTTCTTGACAGGTTTTGTGAGACTCACCCATAAACGCAGATTAGTTCTACAATTAATATATTATTAGTTTTGGTAACACTATAAAATAAGGTCTAACATTAACAAACAATGAGCAATACACTGGTTACAGCATTTATTAATCTTTGTAAATGTTGGTTAATGAAAATAAAACTCATTGTTAGTTCATGCCAGCTCAGGTCTATTAAATAATATTAAAAGATACAACACTTGATTTTATTATTGTATTAATAAATATTTAAATTAACTAAGATTAATAAATGCTTTAGAAATATTTGAATTGTTAGTTTGTTAACTAATACTGCTGAAAATGTAATATAGTGATATATACAAATGGAATGTAGTTAACAAATGGAACCTTACTGTAAAGTGTTACACAATTTTTAATGAAAAGATGAACACTGGAATCTTTCTTGTACCTTCCAGATCCCCAGGAGTACACCGTCCCGTCTGACGTCAGCAGCACCGCGTGTTCAGAGCCCAACGCCAGGCTCACGGCACAGAGGTCAGAGCGGAGAGGACGGAAAAAAGGGGGTTTGGGTGTGACGTACCCGCCTGACACCAACGGCAGCGTAACGAGATGTCCTGAATAAATGCATTATATCAATATCATCATCAGTGTTGGGGGGAACGCATTACAAGTAACGAGA